ATCAGGCATGTTTCCACGTGGTTGACGGCTGTCTGAACGTGCGTAGGTGCCTTCAGCAGCTGCACGGCGCTCATTTTCGTTAGCCGCGGCGAGGTATCGGTCGTTTTCGTCCAATGAGAAATCACCGTCCGTATTATCAGGCTGAAAGTCGTTGTACTCATCTTGGACATCGTCGTAAGTGTTCGGATCTTCGTTTGAATACTCGGTGCCTCCCTGAGCAGCTTCACGAACTTCTAATTCAGCTAGTAGGTCGTCCACCGTGGCTTCAATGAGTGTCACTCTTGGTTTGTTGCGGTTGTCATCGCGGCGACGGTCATCACGCCGGTTGTTGCGGGCGTACCCATCGTCGCGTCGCGTATCACGACTCTTGGAGTATCGGTACTCACTGTCACGCTTGGCCATTCTCTCCTTGCCCTTGACAACATCTTCGATGATCTCTTCGAGCTCGTGAATGTCGGCGACTCGAGCGTGGTAGAGACTCTCCGCTAGCTTGTCATCGTCGCATGTTGCCAGGAATTGCTGTACGTGTTCTTTCGCGTCGCGACCACTCTTCTCAAAGTGTAGACGGGCGGTCCGAGCGTAGCCATTCAGCCTGTTTATGTAGTCGCACAGATGTTCATTACGTTCCCGCTTGGCGGAGTAGTAACGCGACAGTGCCGTCTGCGTGAACTGCGAGCAGTAGTAGCGGATGAACGCATCGCTCAACAGCTTCCACTTGCGCTTCGTCTTCTTTGGAAGTTGACGGAACCAATGAATGGCTCCGTCCCGGAGACTTAGCTCAAATGGAATGCACCATTTATCGGCATCTGTGTGGGTTCCAGTCATTTGATAGACGAACCCACGGAGCCACTGCATACAGTTCTCGCTCTTGTTGCGAGAGCCTGAGAACGGCGTGATGCGATCCAGCGGTCGGTGCGAAGCCATTTCAATCCTCGGTGTCGGGTCTACGTCGTTCAGCGTCGCTAGCTCATTCATCTGACGCATCAACTCGAGTTGAGGATCTTCCTCGCCGAATGTACGCACCAAAATGTCATCGTCACTGGACGAACCATCGCTGTCGACTTGACGACGTCCGGCACCACCGTTGGGGGCTCGCGCACCGCCTCGGCGACCGAACGAACTCTCGTTACTTGCGTAAATGCGTTGCATACGGCTCTCCGAACGTGGCGTAACCATGTGCGAGTCTTGAAAGTACGGTGAAGCTTCGGTAGTGCCAAAGGCACCACGCTCAGCTCCACGCTTGGTCGGAGGAGTACGAACGAGTCGTTGGGGCGTCGGCGGCAGTGGAATCTTAGACGGATCTTCATCTTGAATCATCGGTCGACTCACAGGCTGCTTTCCGGCATTGATGCCAACAGCGCCAAACGCCTTCCGAAGCTTCTTCTTCCATTTCTGGAGAGCAGCTCCGGCTTCATGTGGACTCCAATCCTGGAGCGACATCGTCGATGGGTACGTCTCGTTCTCGAACCCCAGCGACAACAGTAGCGAAACTGAATCCTCGGCAACTTGACTAGTCGAAACCGAGTTGACTGGGTATTGAAGTTCCTGCGCAAGCCCAGGCCAGTCGGCCTTTTCCTTTGGGATGGGCTTGAACAGCTGCATCCACTCATCATTCTGCATCAGCGCTTGTACGCGTCGAAAACCGCGCTTAGCGGCTGGTGTATCACCGTTGATAGGTGGGCGAGGTGCCTTTCAGCAGTGCTGAATGCTTGCACTCCGCCACCGAAGGTTTAAAACC